GTTGTCACCCCGATGAAAATCCTTAGGCTAGGTCCCTTATGAAATGTGTTTAGGGACGTAAAGTGAGGATAACGGGAATGGGTAATCAGGGTTATTGTTGGTTGATGAAATTAATAAATTTATTTTTGGTTGATGAATTTAATAAATTTATTATTATTTGTGGGTTGAAAACCCTATATGCTCATCAGGCTCCCAAGCCTAACCCACTCATCTTTTTATATTACAGGTAGTGGACCCCGATCATAGTTGGATGATGACGAGGGATTTTTGGATTATAGGCCAGTAGTTGTAAATAACTGTTGTAAGGCTTATAATATATTGTTTATGCTTTTGGTCTGTATCGGAACATGACATCCCGAGATTTTGATAAATAATGAAAATATATATTTCTTTAAGAAATGTTTTGATGAATTTTTATCATGTTTTGTTTTGGGGACAAATTCCGCAACATCTTTTAAAAAGATTACTCTGGTTTTATTTTAAAAGCATAAACTAAATCAGTCTTTTCTGGCCGAGAAATTTGGGGATGTCACAAGGTGGGAGAATTTCTCGAGAAGTATTTGTAGGTGTTGTATGACTAGAGTTTTCATCATCCCTAGAAAACTTGTCCTCAAAGAATTCCACATCTCTGGATTCCACAACAACACCTGATTCAATATCTAATAATCAGTAAGAATTTGCTATTATGAGCATATCCAATAAATATAGTCTTATTAGCTCGTGCTCCCAATTTGGTTCGCTTAGGATCAGGAATCTGATAATAAGCAACACACCCCCACACTTTCAAATAGTCTAGGTTAGGCTTTCTACCTTTCCACAACTCATAAGGCCTTGTAGGAATCACACGACTAGTGATTCAACATACAGTTGACCATCTCACAAAGGGCTCGATTCTTTCTTTCAGCCAAACCATTCTGTTGAGGAGTATAAGGTGAAGTTCTCTCATGTTTGATTCCATTCTCTTCACAGAATGTATCAAACTCTTGGTTGAAATATTTTTTGCCTCTGTCCGAGCGAAGAATTTTGATGTGTCTTTCAAGTTGATTTTCGACTTCAGCCTTATACAGTTTAAATGCATCAAAAGCTGCATCTTTTGATCTCAGCAAATAAACATGTAGATATCGACTGGAGTCATCATAGAATGTGATGAAATACCTTTTTCCTCCTCGATTAAGTATTCTATTCAATTCACATATATCATAATGAATCAACCCAAGTAATGATGTATTTCTCTTAACTGATGGAAATGGTTTCTTTGTAAACTTTGATTTCACACAAGTTACACATTTTTCAAAATCTCTTGAGTCAACATTCCTTTAGTTTGCATTTTTTTTCAATGTTTTTAACATTAGTGTGTACTAAACGTTTATTCCATAATGAAATTGAACAAACAAAGTAACCATAAAAGTTCACTTCATTCACATTAGCAATCATTCCATCAGTTACATCATTCATACCCACATAAGACACATTTTCAACATTAGAACCACCACTTTGACCTACTTGCACTACCTTCATAACTAAGGGAAAGACTATACATGAAAAGTTGTTCGCCCTTCCAACATATATTCTTCCCTTAGTGATCACAATTCCGCCATTCTCAAGCTTCATCTTGAACCTACCTTTGTCAAACTTATATGCAGAAACCAAACCCTTCGAGATAGTAGAAACATGAAGAACATCTCGAAGGGTAACCCATTCACCACATGTAAACTTCAAACATACATCACCTCTTCTTGAACTTCATCTCTGTGACTATCAGCACAGATGACTACTGTTCTCGGTGACATTGGACGGTAAGTGCGGAAGCTCTCTCGTTGCTCACAAACATGCATAGTGGCTCTAGTGTCCACGAACCATCCTCGAGCATAAATTTCTCAGGTAAGGGAAGAGATCATGAAAATTTCTCCAAGGTTCACACTTGCCACCATATCAGTCACTTGCTCGACTGCATGTGCAACCTGTCCTGATTTGCGGTCTTTGCATTCTCTCGCATAGTGCCCAATCTCTCCGCAGATGTGGCAAGGTCCGACCCTCTTAGGCATTGAGTTAGGATTCTGATGACTTGGTTTCTTGAAGCTTTGTTTCTTGGGTCCCAAGTTCCTTTTGTTTTGTCCCCCAAACTTGGTCTTATGACCAGAACCCCCAGCTGATACATGGTGCACACTCGATCCGACTTTACCACGCTTGTCCCTGATGCGAGTTTCCTCCTCAATGCGAATGTGTTTCATCAGATCATCCAATGAGTAATCCTCAGATCTGTGTATCATTCTCATGTGCCTTGTACTTCAGTTCCAAAGCACTCATAGCTCTCTCGGATCTTTGACCGGCATGTAAAGATCATAGAGACGATCAGAAAATGAGTTCTTGATGTGACCCACACATAGTTCCTCAGACACGCAAGGATCAGCAGGAATTGGGGCCAGTTTTGGGTCCAAAACATAGGCGAGGTTCAACACATGAAGCATGAACTTGAATCAGTCAAGCTTGGCAAACTCTTGGTTCATGTAGTGGAGACTAGCAGTTGGGATTTGGGTTTCTATTAGTTTGTTGATTTATAAACTCATAAAAACCTTTAAGATTGTTGAATATTAGATCTAATAGACACGCAAGGAAATCGACAAATAATATTGAGAATTATATGTCGATTAATTATGAATAATAAATCCAATTATTATTAATCTGATTACCAAGTTTCATCTAAAAACCGGATCAGTCATTCTCGATTAGATCTGATTATGAGAAAGGTAGAAGGAGAGTGTCTTGTTATTGGATGAAATTAAAAACAAGACAGTAATGTAAAACCGACCTGTTGACGGTTGATCTTGATCGTGGAACAACTGCACGGATCTAACTCCTGTCCTTACAGGTTTTGCTTCTATCGGCTGTAAGCAACAGAGTAAAACCCCAGGATTTAATTCAGATTTACCGAGTTTCCAACAGCAATGGAAACCGATAAACGCAAATTAAATACTAAGAAACCGGAAGAAATCGCACAGAGAGAGAGAGAGAGAGAGCTTCTAATTTTCGAGCAGAAAATATGGCTCCTAGAGAGTTGTATTTATAGGTTTAGAAACCCTAGAAGGCATAAAAAAAAACCCTCATGGGTCGGCCCCTAGAAACCCTATGGCAACGCCTTGCTCTCTAAGCAAGCCATTTACCCGGCCTTCCAAAATATTCCGAACGAACCGGATTCGATTCGACTCGACCGATCCTGAAACTGCTAAAAATAAAAGCTCATTAGCTCCTAGCGACCGATGCGTCGTGCCAAGTGCGTCTAAATCGCACACTCGCGGCGTCGGCTAGTGCTAGGCTAGGCACGCATGTGTGGGCTTGGCCAATCCCTTGATCTACTACGAGCCTTTGAAGGCCTATCAAGAGAAAAACATTATAAACCCACAAAATGTTTCTTCCCCCATCAATATGAGATAAAAGAAAATGGTCAACTAGCTATTATGCCTTCATAATTTCTAAAAGATTTTGGGGCCACCGTACAAATGATACCGTCCATTTCCAACCTAGATGTCGTCAAACAATATTCCAATAAAAATCAAGTTGTTTTTGGTAACGATACCAATTTTTTAATCCCTCATGTTGGTCATTCATCTCTTCCCGCACATCTTAAACTTCTTGATTGCCTCGTCTTTCCCTATACCACTACAATTTTTTTGTTGATTAGCAAATTAACCAAAGATCAACCTGATGAAATCTTATTTTTCTGATTCTTTATATTTTGCCATTAAAAATTGTCTCACCACTGACATTTTAGTTGGGAGTCATGTTGATCCAGGTCTTCATATTCTTGAACAGGGTCAAAATGCTTTTTTAGCAAAACTTTCTTCCAATCGACTTTATGCTTCGTTCTGGTTATTGCATCAACATTTGGGGTTATGTTGCTTTTAATGTTGTTTCTTTTCTAGTTTAATATGACATTTGTTTGTACTTCAGTGTTACCAAACCCAAGTGTTTTTTCGTCTTACCAATTGTCTAAAAGGAAACGTTTACCTTCTGAAATAAATCCCAAATGTTCATTGCATCAAAATCTTTATTTACGATAAAGATTTTGCAAAACATAAAATGATCATAGGTAATATCTAGATCCCAGAACAAGCTTGATTTTGATTGTTAACTTAGATTTTCAAGTATTTATCATGGCGATTAAGATAACAACTTACCGAATAAAAATTAAAAATACACATCGATTTACGTAATTTTCACAAATTGTGATGTGAAAGTGTTTATAAGTATAATAACCATGTTCATTTATAATGGTTTTTGGATTCTGTGGATATTGAGTCGAGCAAGGTCACACGAATGATGAGTTAACGACTCATACAATGATACAATGTCACAAATGGCACGACACACGCATGGATTGTTCTTCTCTTTGATGGACATAATTTTCCCTTTTGTTCCCATGGCTAATTCTCCACATCATGTAATGAATAATCATATTTGCTTTTAAAAAGAAATCAAATTGAATTGAATTTTTAGAAGTATATGTGAACGTGATTTAACTTTCTTTTATCTTTACGTTTTTAAGACAAGTTACACCAAATTATTAAAAAAAATGATTTTCAAAATGAGTATTCCAATAAAACGATATCATGGCACATAGGTTCAAGAACATCAATAAATGGTTCATTTCAAGATTCTAACAGTAACAATAATAATAAACGATAAGATAAAATAATCAAGCTATTTAGTATCCAAATTAATGAAACTTTATTATTGGATTTGAGAGGACGAAAAAGATTTTATTAGGTTTTCGAAAACAAGAGTTGAAGATTGTAATTACTAAAACAAGAAATGTAACCTTATTTCTATAATTCAATCGATTTGACAAAAAGAATTTGTACTTCTTTCACATATAACATAAGAATTGAATTCTTGTAAAGGTCAAAATAGTAATTTGGTTACTTACCGAACTCTGTAACAAACAAGGTATTATTAACTAGCCATCAAAATCAGATCTCAGCCGTTGAAAAACCATCATCTCTCTAGATCTTCCGATCACGAAATCCAGTTAATGTCAAAAGATTTTGATCCGACGGACAGTAACTAAATCTCCTCTGTAACATTAACCCACACAACAAACCCCCACCGTCGGATTTCAAATTCTTCTTTCCCGCCACTTGAACGGTTGATCTCACGCCGTTCAAGTCCTTGAACGCCGCCGTAGTCAGGGAGGAAGAGGAAGACGACGTCGTGGAATCGTTTCCGTCGGAGAATTCAACCGATGGAGAATCGCAAGACTCTGCTCCAGATGATCGCTGGCTTCTCTTCGATCCGTCGCGGCTGGGATGCCATGAGAGCCTCCGTTCACGGCGGCGTTTATCATCATTTTCCTTTTCTCCAATCAGATCACGAAAACACACGGCGGACATCCCGTTAAACGCTGCAAAATCTGAACCCTCGTAAACTGTCGCAGCGATGTTGAGTACACCGTGGACTCTCCCGGATGGACGGCGGATGTGGACGGCGGAGAATGCCGGAGTTCCGATCATTGCACCGGTTTTGGAGGATGTGAGGGAACTACTACTTAAGAGGTAACGTACGTGGCCGATGAGATAGTTTCTGATGTATCCACAAGCGTAGATTTCGAATTGAACAGCGGATGTGTCTCCATAGATGAAATCCGGCGTGACTCGGAAGATGAACTTCTCGTTCCAGGTAGGGTTATCGCCTCCGACGGGATCAAGGCTACTCCGGAGCTTGACTGTGGGATCGACCCATGCGATTGCGTAGGTGTGCGTCTTGCGTTTAGTAGAAGGGGGAATCTTTAGACCTTGCGCAGAGATCAAGTTAATCTCTAGAATCCTCGTCTCCGACATTTCTCGATATGAATATCTCCCTCTCACACACAAACACTAAATTCGGTGTAATCAGGCGTTAATTACACTGATTTTGACATGAAATCGAGATCAACTAGGGGATTTTTGAATGAAATTGGGTTTTGAGTTCAAGATCAAGGAATCTGATCAAGAATTGGAAGGGCGATTGGCGAATTTTGAGGGGAAGAGAGACGCCGTGATTTTATTTTCTTCTCTCTCGCCTGATGTCATTTCGGAGTTGATGGAGACTTTTATTACCGTTATGTGAATATTACATTATAGCCCCTTCAGCTTTTGTAATTTGTACAATTGGAACTATTTTTATTTATATTATTTACAAATAACTACATTGTGTTTGGTTTTATGTACATGAAAATATTTTTTATTTTAATCGAACTTGTTTATTTGAAAATAAATCAATGGAATAGAACTGTAAAGTAGCTAAAAACAATTCACTGTTTTAAAATTCAGTGTCTAATGTATATACTAAAATGTTTCAACCAAAATGATGTACTCAAACAAAATTAGATTAGTATTTCAAAATTTCAGTGATGATTTGAATTACGTTTAATAAGTCAATTATGCGACAATTAAAATGTTAAATAAAATAAGTTGCTAACGAGTCAACCTAATTCTTATAACTTAATCTTTAAATTTTTTGTTTTGACTTTTGACCCAAACTAGGGTTGTGTTTGGGTAAACCCATACCCGGAACAAAAATTGGATATGGGTCATTTTGCAAATGAATACAAAAATGACCATACGACTATAAAAATTATAGAAAAACGATCCAAGTTTTGTACCAGCATTTATCAAAAATTCTCCCATCCCTCTAAGGTATTTCGAATTTCAATGATATATAATATGCAATTTTTTCCCATTTGCACCAACATTTATCAAAAATTCTTTCATCCCTCTAAATTCCGAAAAACGTTTAATATAATGGTTTTTCAACAAAATGTTACAACTTATGCACTTTTGTAACTTACTTTGCTTTTTTTTTTTTAATGTTATATTCCAGTAAAATAATAGAAACTTTTTCTTAACATTTCACATTTGTTCTTCGGATTTCAAATATGTACTTGAAATTTTTAGTGTTTTTATTTTTGTTTAATCGTTTATATATGATGGATCCCCTCTTTGATTTTCATTTTGGCTCCGCCATTAGATGCAACAATGGATTGTTGGACTCTCTTTTTTAAAACTATGGAAAGGGGCCGATTTTTTTTTTATAAATGTATGTTATGATAAACTTTTGTTTAGATCAGGAAATCATTTTTTTTTAAAGTTGGGGTGTTTTAAACCATATTGTAAATTAAACTTAACAATCTAACTGTGATCGATATTAACATAAATAGAAGGGCATACCTATGATAAACAAACAAACATACAGTGATATAGATTCTTATGCTATACGGTGTGGGGTGTGGTTTGGAACCGCGATGCAGCCACGTGGACCGCGAACACCGCCCCCAGGGTGCGGTTTCGTGCGGCCAAAACCGCAATGCGGCTATAGAAGACCGCGTAATCTAATTGGCTGGGTGCTTTCTTCCATGTTTGACCGTTGAACGTTCAAGATTCGTGTAATTTTTTTTTTTTTAACCATTACTCCATCTATATATATATATATATATATATATATATATATATATATATATATATAT